AACTGAAATGGCTGAAGACAGGAAAAAAAAATCAAGTGCAGTTGCTCTTTTGGCACCCTTTGAAGTGTTTGGCCGGTGAACCTGGAACATCCAGAATATTCAGAACCTGGATGTAAATGTCTTTTGTTGTGGCTTACGTTGTCAGTGTCGCCCAGACCATGCCTGTGCCCACTCTCAGCTCTTTTTAAGTTCCCGGACTGAGTTTTCCAAAGTCCCTTGCAGGTGCTGTATTCAAGTGCAGTTGCTCTTTTGGCACCCTTTGAAGTGTTTGGCCGGTGAACCTGGAACATCCAGAATATTCAGAACCTGGATGTAAATGTCTTTTGTTGTGGCTTACGTTGTCAGTGTCGCCCAGACCATGCCTGTGCCCACTCTCAGCTCTTTTTAAGTTCCCGGACTGAGTTTTCCAAAGTCCCTTGCAGGTGCTGTATGCTGAACTGCAGGAGGAGCCGGTTTGCTGTAGGGTGCAGCAGGATTTGGCAGCTGTTGGGAAGAGAGGGCCAACCGCTCAGCGAGGGGAGGGAGAGCCGGATGGCGGCTGCTGCTGCCGTGGGGTTTGAAGGGAGGAGGAGGAGGTGGCGGAAGGAGGGGATGGGAGTTCCTGAAATTTGGACCCAGCCCTCGGAGGCAGCTGCAGGAGTTGAGATTATCGCGGCTGGATTTACACGCTCTGTGCGTTGTTCACGGCGCGGGTTTCACACAGCTGACTGTCTTCGTGTGTTTTGCAGACTCCCATCTTGCTGACCCCAAGTCCCTTGCTCTCCAGTATTCATTTCTGGAGTACGCTAAGCCCAGTTGCTCCTCTCAGTCCTGCAAGGTTGCAAGGTGCTAACAGTAAGTTCCAGCAAGTTTAGCCAATCCCTCTGTGCTTGTCAGTACCTTCCTCAGCAGACCTGCAGGGATCAGTTAGCCCAAATATCTGATGTAGATAAAAGTGACCTTTTTGTTCTCTGTCCCCTGCGTTAGCGTTTGAGAGCGTTTAATTTTCATGCTTACCCAGTTTTATTTAAGTGTATTGTAAATGTTGGTATTTCAGAAATGTTTTGAATTAAACAGCAGTCTGTGCTGTAGCTAGAGATAGATTACTTTATTTTTTTTTAGGTCTGTCCCTCATGTAAAACTTGCCTCCCTGTAACTTCAGTGGTTGAGATTTTCCTGGAAATGGAATTTTACTACTCTATAGCTTGGTTTAATCATTTGTTAACAGCCTCTTCTGTTGAAAGACGTTAATTAAATCTCACCACTAGTAAGAAAGAAGATTGTATGATCTCTGTGGCAATACGTAGCACAGTTCTTTGTGATCTATTCTGCTCTTTTCTGTTTGGAAATTCTCAGCTTCACTGTTTTTAATAAATATTTTTGTTTAACTAATACATAAGGAAAAAAAGTCCGCTAAATAATCCTTTAGTTGTAATTACTCATGCTCTTCCTTCACCTTCCACTTTGGAATTGGAATAACCACATCTGTTGCCTGAGTCTGCTTAGGCAAAGGGTAAAATTTAACTAGTTGTCTTCTGGGTTTCTATCTGTTATCTCCACGGAGATGAAGGAAGTAGCTTATATGTACCGTGAGGATAGGGACTAAACAAGTAGGTCTGAAAATGCATTGGACGTTTTTCTCTATAAATAGCTGATCATTAACTGAGGAACAATTTCGACCATGGTTTCCCAACAACCTGTTTTAAAGTTACTTACTAGTTTAGGACCTGGGCGGTGCTCAGTGCAGAGGTTACGGACTGGGTCCTCCTGGTGACGCTGCTTATGGTAGCTGGATTGCTGTAGTCTGTGATGCAGTGGCGTTTAAAAAGTAAATTACTTGGGGAAAGCCAAAAAGATTCTTTGAAAGTTTGGGGTTTTTTTCTTTGTTGTGTGTTTTTTTGTTTTTTGTTGTGTTTTTTTTTTTTTTTTTTCCTGGGGGAGCTTTTATATGCACGAATATGAGAGGAATAGTAAATTAAAATGGCCTCTTCCCTAATAATTTTTGTTTTGTCTCTTAGTTTCCATCAGTGCTGAACAGTCATGGCCCATTTACTCTCTCTGGACTGGATGGACCCTCTACCCCTGGCCCATTTTCCCCTGATCTACAGAAGACATAGCACATGAACTCATGGAAAGGACATATTGGCAAGCAAGGGAAAGATATGACACTTATATTTAACCATGTTTTTTAAATGAGCAATTTATAATTCCACAGAGAATATCAACAATCATAATTTTTGCCATTCCCAATTAAAATGCCTTTTTTTGCAAAATTCCCTTTTTTGAAGACCCAGGTTGGGAATGTATATGCAAACGCCTTAATAGGAGCTGAAGCTCCAGTCTCTTCTCTTCCCTCCTTCGTTCGGAAGACTTCGCTATGGTTAAAGGGAGTTTCAGTTGGGGTTGCAGTAACTGAGTCTGCACTGATTGCAGTAAACGGTGTCAGAGAAGTCTTTTCTCTGTGACTCTTGGAAAAACCCTCTGTTCTTCTGCTTCCTGTGCTTGGCACGAAGAAATCTAATCATGATCGAAGCTGGCATTCCAGGAAATGCTTGGGAAAGGGGTGTGTGCATCGGCTTTGCCTTGGGGCCTGATAACTTCTGCAGCAACAAAAGAGCCTGCGTCTTTTCTGCTGTAAAAACATATTGTCTTTTTGCAGGGAGAAATTTTCAAGGAATATTCAATGGTGGTGTTACTGAGATACGGACAAATTTTGAATGGCATCGTATGCCGACAGTCCAGCCCTTCACAGAAGCGGTCTGGCTAGCTTCTGGATGCTTCCCTGCCTTCTCTTCGGTGAGGAGGCAAGGTGTTGGAGACAAATGAATGGTGGTAGTACTTCCCTTCAGTTCTCAGAAAGTTTGAATGCTGAAGTCCAAACATTTCTTGTGCCAGAGACCTGTTACAAAGCCTGTAATCTCGCTGCTGGAAGATTAGCAGGATGGTGGATTTTACATGAGGTTTTGAGGACGAGTCTGTATTTGGTGAGGTTGCTGCCTGATGCTAGAGTTTCAGACCTAAACAGTGAGTGAGAACTGAGCATTAACGTTACTGCTCTTTTCCCACAGTTGAAGCAGAGAAGTTCCTCTTCTAAAAGCTCTTGTCTCAAATTTTGGTTTAGATGGATTGCTTTTTTCATTGGAGGAAGCACTCGGACCCAAAATAAGTTAGGCTCAGTGTGTACAGCCAGCTGAGAGAGGTACCATGGTGTATCAACCTTACTGTAAATTTGTGCTTGTGTTGCTTTTCTTGGTGGCCATGTGTGTATGGATTAGCACAAGATTAGTTTCCAGACCCATTTGAAATGCTGATGAAATTAAATACGTAGTTGGATTTTTAAACTTCAGGAGGCCTTTTAAGAGAACTGAGGAATGAAAGAGGAGAGACTCTCCGCTCGGGGCCCCTCAGAGGCTGGATGTCTTGGTCTGTTGGTGCTGGGCAGTGTGCCCTTCCACTTTGAGCATCTGATGTCAGGCAGCAACTTCTGTTTGCTACTGTGTACATTGAGTTGGTGACATAAGATGATCTTCTCCATAAAATACCCACTAGAATACAGATGGAGACCGTCTCTTTCCTTTAGCAACCTCACTGGCTGGCTTCAAAGTTTTAATGAGCAAAGGAAGATTGTACCTTTGCAGCAAGAGGAGCTGACAGTGTACGCTGTATATATTGCACCTATCTTACGGTGAAGTGGTGAACTCGAGCTTTCCAGAGTTTTCCTTTTGCCACTTTTGCAGACTCTGAATTCACTTTAAAGTGTATGACAATACCCACGGCTTTAATTTACTGCAGTGACGTTATCTTTCTATATTCTAGCATTGAAATACGTAAACCGCTTAGTATGTTCCTGACATGACACCCTAGACAGATGGGTGTAATGGACTTGCTTTTTGGGCACTGTTCATCCAGAAAGTCCCCTGCCCGGTGGGAGGAAAGAGAGTGCCTATCTTTAGGTGGAGTTAGCAGGGAGTGAGCTCATGTAGTGAACTGTCTTCCTGTTCGGTTACGTCAGAGGCATAATACTGCTTCGCATTTTAGTCATCATCAGATGCAGGACAAAGTTCCTGTGCCAGTGGCTCTTAAAATGACAATGTGCAATATTGACTTTTTTTTTTAAATGCAGAAAGCAAGCTGCAGATCATAATTAAGAGCAGGCACCTGGAATTTTCTGCTTTGCATGAGGGCTTATGAGTCTGCTCTAGAAAATATATATAGCTATATATCAATAGCAGCACTTTTAATGGTTGTTTTAAGTTGGCCGATTTTACGCCCACCAAGTGTGTGGACTTGAGAGCAACATTGCAGACTAGGATTAGAATTTAAAAATACTTAATGAGCACTAAAGACTTGCAATTTAATTGCTTCCCTTTCCTTGTCCCCTATGGAGAAAAGCCAAGTTTATTTGTGTAAAAGTTGTGTATGTGCACACATGCACTTAATTTTTTGTAAACTGTATCACTTTCAGCATAGGTATGCAAGAGAATCAAATGCTAATATAGCTTGTCCGTTGTGCTTGGCCTGGTTTCACACTCTTCTCCCAGTAACTTAGGAAGATTGCACTGCCATAGCTGGTGGTAGAGATACACGTTCACGCTCGGGAATACCTTCCTCAGAGAAAGTTAATATGGAAATACAGCCTCTATGGGTTGGTTTCAATCTGGTAATGCCCAGCTTCCTGACAGATGGCACTGAGAAGATGATTGCTTTTGCTTCTTAAGCCACCTGCCTAGGGAAAAAAAAGTCCCATACAGGATTCTAATCTCAGGAGGCAGTTGGGAAAGCAAGCCGAAAGGGATGGGGAGGTGGGAGAGGAGAGGCTTGCTCACCTTTTCTCCGTTACAACTTTCAGGTCACGTAAGGTAATAGTATCTTGTATATACGCTGCCTCATTAAAAACACATTTACTAACAAGTACGTAACTGCCAGCTTTTTTGGATCACATTCCGGACAGAGCACAGTGTCGCTGTGACTTCTTGGAGCTTGGTTATGTGAATTGCTGGTACTTTTACTAGCTCACTTCAGGAGCAGTTTGCAGCTCATTGCAACTTGTTTTTAATTTAGTGTCGGGAAGGTGGGGGTTAATATAGGCTCTCTTTTAATTATCATGTTAGCAGTCTGTAATATGGGTATAGTACCGTGTTGGTTTAAAAAAAATAATAATGCAGCATTACAGAAGCATTTTATTACATTACAGTTCGTGTTGCTGAAGTAGCCATGGTATTGTTGAATGCTTGGTAGTATTTGCATCGGTTAATTCATAGATGGTGGTAGAATTAGACTGGATGAAGCATGGAAGCTGAACATCTGTCTTGCTTCTGGAAATCTCTTTTACACGTCACTGCTGCTGTATAATAGTACTGCAGAGCTGAAAAGCTTGCACCGCTGTTGCTGTGTGTGCTATGTCTGGCTTTTTTGAGATCCTGAATTGTCAGGATGCCACTAGCAACACGTGCTGCTAGCAGAAACAATCCATGGAAAGCAGAAACGTGTTAATAATAGCCTACGGTTATAGAACCATACCTGTTCTTGTCTTACCTGTTTTCAGAGAATGTGATCCTAGCACTGAGGGTGATGGAGGAAAGTTGTTTTGTTTTTTTTCTTAGCAGCTTAAGTCTAGATCCTTGTTTCAGAAATCGGTCTGCAGCAGTGACAGCTGAATGTAATTCCTATGCACTGTCTTTGGCACATTTGAGTTGCATTTTGCAATAGGTCAGGAAGTGATAAAATTCCTTGAATTGGAGAATTCATTGTTTTTACTTACAGCATCCTAAGACTTCAGTATCCATGCAATTTCTGGTATAATGGAGCGTGCATTGCAATATGAAAGGCCTTTGGCTGTTCAGTGGTTTGTTCGGGATAAGTTCTCCCTCTGATATGTTTTAAAACCTCAGATACCTAGCAAATAGATTCTTCTTGTTTTTTACAGTGTTCATTTGAACCCCAGTGGAGGCCGCTTACAGGCGTATCTCCCCCGACGCAGCCTTCCAAAGTGCAGCGAGATGCATTAATGTCAGATGCCCTCGTGACTTCAACTTTCACGCGAGAACTTCTGCAGGCTGAGTTTGGATGAAAGAGCTAGCCTAGCGCGTTGATGCGGTTTCTCAGGTCAGCACAGGCGCAGAGTTCTGACCCACTTCCGTAGCATTTTTCTAGCGCTCAGGTCAGAACCCTCGGTTCTGACAGTCTGTTGGCTACCCATGGTTTATTCATGTATCTGTTAGTTACCTTTTGCTACTGTTTTATAGCATTTTTGTATGTACTCATGTTTTACTATACGATTTAACCTCTTCCATTTTTAATGCATATTTGTTTACAAGACACATCTCAGTGTTGTATCAAGAGGCTATCTTGGTATTGTCAGCTATGAAAATAAACTACATCGGTAGTTAAGGAACATTGTCAAAGTTGACAGGTATTTTAAAACTTGATGTTTGAGTTTTGGGTGTCCATAACAATTTTGTTCTGTTTTGTTCCTTACTTCTCCTGCGTAAGAAATACACGTACCTTCTGGCCTCTGAGGTCCTGGGTATGGATAGTTTATTTTGTCTTAATAGTCACGGAGCATGGTATTGCAAACAAACAGCCTGAGCCCCACAGGATCTTACACTCGGCAGATAAGTTGAAAATCCATTAGACTTGCAATCATGTTGCTTAGAAGCTGTTCAGGATGTTTTGATAAGGTATAGTACGTCTTGCCTAAACAGGAATTTTTATGATTTGATTTGAATTTAATTAAACAGTAATTGGCAATGGCTGCTGTTTAGCCTAAACAGTATTAGTAAATCTGCTTAATGTGGAAGCCTTTGGCTGTTGCCATCGAGTGGTGGTTAATATGTGACATGCTAAAGTTGATCTGCTGAAGTCAGAGGCTGTCAGATGATTAAAAGATAAAAAGCAGTGACAGTCGTTTTACACAGTCCTTCAGGGCTGTTACTGCAAAAGGCTTTGTCTTGGAGCCACATCTGCGGACACGGCATTTGAGCGAGTAGTGTTGATCGTGTAGGAGCCCTTTGTAAAAGCTGATTCTGGACAGAGGAGAATTTTTGAAAATAGAACTAAATCTTTTCTCCATAGCCTGCTTTGAGTCATAAGGATAATATCATGTAATATAGGAGCT